GGGACGCGTGACCCCCCCAACCCGGCCCCCACCCCTCTGCCCGTGCCCTCCACCCCTGGGAGCCTCCCGGGGCTCCTGCGAAGAAGCAGCTGCCGCAGGCTCCCGCATGCACCGTGCCTTGATGGGGGGGGATTGGCTGCAAATCCAGGCCCCGTGCCCCCCGAGCAGCCCGGCTGCTGTCCCGCTGAGCGGGTGGCACAGTTGCCATTCTTGGTTGGGTTTTTGGGGGTTATTTCTTTTTCTCCCCTCCCTTTTCTCAGCCTTTGTACTCCTGAGCGTCTTTGATTTGTGTTTCCCTCCCTCCGTGCGGCACCGCTCAGGATTTGCACAGCAAAACGAGATTCGAGCGATGGTTTAATGGTGGAGCACCCAGCCAGAGCATCCTCTCGCAGCTGGACCACGGGCGGGGATGCAGGGACACGGGGACAGGGGCTGGACCCCGATATCTGCAGCAAGAAGAGCATCACTGGGCTGGTGCATATGGTATTGGGGAGGGGCCAGGACCCCCACCCCTTCCCACGGCGCAGAGAGGGGTTAAAATATCAGTACTGGTGTGGCCAGCAGGAGCAGGGCAGGGAGCGTGCCCCTGTGCTGGGCACTGGGGGGGCCGCCCCTCGAATGCTGGGGTCAGGGTTGGGCCCCTCCCTCCCCGAAGGACCTGGGGGGGCTGGAGCGTGTCCAGAGAAGGGCAGCGGAGCTGGGGAGGGGTCTGGAGCCCCAGGCTGCTGGGGAGCGGCTGGGGGAGCTGGGGGGGTTCAGCCTGGAGCAGAGGAGGCTGAGGGGAGCCCTCATCGCTCCCTACAACTGCCTGAGAGGAGGGGGGAGCCGGGGGGATCGGGCTCTGCTCCCAGGGAAGGGGAGATGGGATGAGGGGCAACGGCCTCAAGTTGTGCCAGGGCAGGGTGAGGTTGGCCATGGGGAACAATTCCTTCCCCTTGGGGCTGTCAGGCACTGGAAGGGGCTGCCCAGGGAAGGGGTCGAGTCCCCAGCCCTGGGGGGATTTAACAGCCGGGCAGAGGC